GGGGCACAGGGATAGAAGCTTTCGCGGCGGTTGCTGCATTACACCTTCGTCATTTTCCTCGCTCACGTTTAGTTATCGGAGATGCTCTTCAAACCAATGTTTCCTCTTAGTTGTCTTCAGAATCCCCACAACGTCTCTGACCGCATTCAACGCATCCGCTACCTGGGAGATTTTCTTGGCCTCTGGGGCATTCCACGATAGATCGTACCAATTTTTTCCAATTTGACACCGTCATCTCTCGGAATTTGACGAGAATTGGCCTCAGGGGTAATCAGGGGCTCTGAATCCACCTGTAACAATTTCAGGCTTATCAGACAAGTATTTTTTGAGTTATGGTGTATAGCATTTTTTGGATCTTGCTTTGCAGCGCTAAGTTTGGCGGACTGTAACTCTAAGACGGATTATTCAAATGCCAAATGTTATATAACATTGAACTTGCAATGAAACAGAGATTAATATGTATTTTTGAAATTTCGAAAAATACGTTATTTTTGATGTATGACGTATCGAGTTTTCTTTCATTTGTATTTTTTGGACTTTGGGACCAATTTTTTTTTTGAATTTTTATTTCTTTAAAAAAATATTTGGCTCATTGTTAACAAATATGCAAAAAATTAGGAAGGTGATCTTTCTATAAATGTATTTATTTTACGTCACGATAACGGTTTCGAATAGTGATTTCGGGAGGGGAGCTTACAAATGGCGTGGTAAAGCTGCCTACTGTTAACGCCAGACGCCTTGAGACCCTAATTTTTCGCGATTATTTTAAAATGCGTGGAATAATTTAAACCATATTTAGGAAATAGCTGTTTCAAGACCTGCCGAAACTTTTTCTTCAAATACATTTTGTTGTCACTTAAATATTTGTGGCACTTGTCATTGACTCGTAATGTTAACTGTTTTTCCATCCTGGATAGAGGCTTTCATACGTCATATGACATTAGGCTCCGCCCACGACTGCGGCATTGACCCGTGCCCATCAGCGACCTCTGTACAAACGACACACCTGCCATCTGTAAAGGACTATGAATTTCGCTGACGTTTCACGTGCTATGAATCAATTGCAGCAGACCGTCAAGTAAATATTAGGCTCTTGTTGACTCTTGTAGGTATATGGGACCAAGAGGACCATCACTCCTCAATCTACTACTCACACATGCTTCGAAAAAACGTTAACGATTCCTAACAAATACGATTTTCGATGTAGGATATCTGTTTGGTGAAATAGGTCCGAGCGAGCCTTATGATGTGTAGCGAATGCAATTAGCTAATTATTGCGCTGGTCGACGGGTGCATAGAGATGTACAAATCAGGAGCTACTTGATGACATCCGACATCCCATTATCGCATTATCTGCAACGCCGTAGGCTTTAAATACGGGTGAATATTTCCTAACCTTATGTCAGTTATATGCCACCTGCCCGTCATTTGCAGCTTATAAAAAATAAAACAAATATCAGCGAACATATCAGCATTGTACAAGCAATGCGCATTGAGCATTTATGGCTCCTCGGTCATCATGTCGCTCTTTGGGCACTGTCAGACAAGACGTTACGCACAACTCCGCCGGCTTTCGGCACCGCTCGACCGTCCCCGCTCCCCGCCACAGCGAGAGTGACCGCGCGCCGGCCCGAAACCCCCGCAGGCCAAGACCACAGAGGCGGGGCTTAGCTGTGACGTCATAACGTATCACAGACTGAATGGTGATAGCCTCTACACGCCGGGTGAAAATCTTGCTCGAAATTTAACATTACGAGTCAATGAGAAGTGCCTGAAATATTGAAATGGCGACAAAATATCTAAATTGTAAAAGTTTCGGCAGGTCTTGAAACGGCCATGTCCTGAACTTGGTTGTAATTCTTCCATACATTTAAAAATAATCGCGAAAAATTAGGGTCTCAAGAGGTCTGGCGTTAACAGTAGTAACATCACGGGTTACTGAAATTTCAATTGAAGTCTGAGTCATCTGAAAAAAAGTGAAAAGAGGGCTCATCCAACCCTCTTTCCTATAAGCGCGAGGGTGAAAAAGGCTGTTTGGTTCTGACATTGTTTTGGACGCCAACGATCATAGCTGTCCGAGATGAAAGTTACAGGACTCATACATGGTGTCCTCCAGAGGTCTCACAACTTGTATATCTGGGAATTTTTAAGGTTACGTGAGGTCAGGTCGGTCACGTGACATCACTGTTATAAGTCAATTGGGAAATATAAAAACTGTTAGTTTGGCGCCGAGAATGATCTAAAACTATCCCACGTACATGGTATCGTGATTTCATGCACTTCTTGCAAAGTCCAATGCTTTTCTTTTGCATTGGTAGCCTTGCGTGATGTCATTTATGACGTCACTAGGGTCGTACGAGTTTTTCGTCAATAACTCCCGATCAAATGGAGCTAGAGAGTTGGGAAAGCCACCAATGGACTCGGGAAGACCTTCCGAATCGAATGATATGCCATATGATAAGGGTTGCCCAGCTTCGTGACCTGAGGGGCTCTGACCTGACCTTGATCCGAGGTCAACTGCTTAAGTTGACCTCATCCTAGCAAAAAATATACCATTCGATGCACCTGAGCTAGGCGAACACAATGATGCCAAAATCGCGGCCCTGCGGCCATTTTTTGCGAAGTTATTTACTAAAAACCGAACCCGTAACTTCAGTCACTTGACCTGACCTCAGACGCTACCGGTTAAATTGAGACCTTAAAATCGGGTACCAATCGCTGCGACTTGTTGCGGCACACACGGTCGTTTTTTTCCGCGAGGCTCTAGCTCTATTAGAAGCGAAACGGCGTACTGGGGTCGTATCAACCCCTCCAAAACCCATTTTGTTTGCGGAAAAATGAGGATTTTATAGAAAGAACACCTTTCTAATTTTTTGCATGTCGATTTGCAATGACATGAAGTTTATTTTGGAAAAATAAAAATTTGAAAAATTTTGGTCCCAAAGGTCATTAGAGGCAAACGAAAAACGATTAAGGTTTTTGCTCAACAATGAAAATTTTTCTTTGGAATTTTTAAATGGTAATACTAATTTTTGATTCATCGCAAGCTTAGTGTTGTTTACTGTTTGTTGGTAGCTTAACCCGTTCTTGAGTTATAGGCCATCAAACTCACCGTTACAAACCGAAGTTAAAAAATGTAATGCAATATAACTCAAAAAGTTTTGATCTGAGAAGTCTGATATTTTGCCAGGCGTCTTTGGGGCCTATGATTACCCCTAGGACGGATTTTCATTAAAATCTGAGAGATGAGGGTGACGGGCTTGGTACGATCTATCGTGGAATGCCCCCTCTTCCACAAGGGCAAGATCCAGGGAGTGATTCGCACAGTGTACGTACACTGAACGAGGCTGGTCTTCGACGAGCCTCTTCTGGACACCACTTATTTTTCCGGACATGTTCGAGGCTCCATCGAAACAATGGCCTCTTAGCTTGTCAGTACCATACATCGTACGCACTAGGGCGTCCTTCAATGCTTCATAGAGCTCGGCAGCTGTGGATCCTGGGACCTCATAGAGCCCAAGGAAGGCCTCTTTCACAAGCAACTCCTCAGTGGCGTAGCGGACACAGATACTAAACTGTTCTTTGGTGGACAGATCTGTCGTGCCGTCTGCAATCACGCCATAGAACATTGATCTTCTGGCCTCCTCTAGCACCTCACAGAGCAGCATCGAAGCCATGATCCGGATGATTTCATCTTGGCATTCATGGGAAAGGAAAAAAGCCCCCTCCCTACCCCATCCGGGCTAACCCGTGCCCGGCCTGCCAGCAATGCTGGGAGGCCGGGCCGCCGGCCTGTCTCACAGGCCGCCAGCGCGGCGGTTTCGGCCGGTAGGCGGCCCGTGGGACGGGTCGGCGGTCAGGGGGCGCCGCTTCGCGTGGAAAGCCGCACCGATGTGCGAGGCGGCGCGGGCGGGGGCCGATCGTCTGTTCCGGCCAGGAGGGCCGTGAATAGTGTAAAGCATGCATGGTGGGCACTGTTGAGTGTTTTCACACCTGTATTGTTTCTTGTATTGATTACAAGGCTTGCTTCGAAGAAGTGTGACAGTGATGTGCTCTGATATTGGCAAATATCATTTGTGTTTCGATAACATAATAGAGGTGATCAGCTTTGCAAAGCGGAAGGGTAATCCTGAAACATGTGTTTAAAACAATTTTGATGTAAAGTGCGCTTTATATGCGGAATCGGTAAGCCTGAAGGTGATAACGCGATGACATGATTTCGAGAAAAAAAAAAACGTTCTTGAACTCTGCATCGAGTCTGGGTTTCTTCATGCGTCGTTTTTAATAGGTTTAGTTGGCGATCCGCGATCGACTGTCTCTGAATGTTTGATAAGCGGTCTCCTCCCGCTGTGTGCTACCTTCACTTGATGTTTGTCTCAGAAATACCTTTTAAGGGAACCTTTAAAGGAAATCGAATCTGAAATGAACGGTGGAAATAGTAATGCTGAATTACCTCATCGGAGAATAGCGCTCACCTATTTCTCAAAGTTTGGCACCGTTCCTCCTCATTATATGATATGCGGTCGGCCTGTGGAGTGTGGCGCAATTTTTCCCATGGGAACTTATTTTTCATAGGTACAGCGATACGAAAATTGTCACATCGTCCACTGGTAGATCTAGGGAGGGGGGGGGGGACATTTAGAGCAAATAGTCCCCAGTATAAGCGTCCGAAATTTACAAACAAGTTTTTTTTTTCAAATATCAAAAGTTTTGTTGGGAAAAGTTTGTTTTAAGCTGCTCAGCAGTGCATAAGAAATCGAAATCCGAGAAGTTTTTGAATTTGGGAGCTTTTTTGGGGGGCTATGTCCCCCGAAACGTCCAAAACCGCCTTCCTGGATCTGCCTGTGACATAATCTCGTCTGGGATCTTGCCCCCCCCCCATGTCGAAATCGAATCCGCCGCCACTGTGAACTCACTTAGGTTTGAACTCACTTCTTGGAGAGAAACAACTTTTGAAAGAAAGCTAAGTACGAGCTCTAACTAGTTATGCTTGTTTTCAGACATTTTGTCGGGCCACAGGGAAGGGAAGGTGGCGAGTCTGATCGGCCTGGAGGGCGGACACGGCATCCAGTCGACGTTGGCCTCGCTGAGAGCCATGTATGCGCTGGGCGTGCGCTACATGACGCTCACTCACACCTGTGACACACCCTGGTAAGCAACAGCCGCCACACTGGCTGGTAACGACTGCCCCTTAACCCTCGCCCGCACATGCCATTTTCCCACCCTAGAACGCACATGGGGGGGTGGGGGGGGGGGTGGTTGCCACCCCTCCGCGCCATTTCGTTCGTGTTGGAGATAGAGCTTCGCGGTAAAGACCAAAAAGATTCTTTGGGAAGAGACGAATCCAATGATACCCAGTTTTACCTTCTCAGGTCAGTCATTGACCTTGCAGGTCAGGTCAAACTAAAAAAAAATGTTGCTATTTTGGGTCACCGTGGGATATCAAGTGCGCTGCCCAACCTCAAAAATGATTAAAATCCTCTCACAGGAATCATGAGCAACGATCGCGTCGGGGACGTGAAATGGTCGAGTTTTGTTTCCCCTGCTTAATGTTTCTGCGTGGTAACGAAGCTAGTTACAGGGACAGGCGTGTGGGATGTGCGGCGCCGGTCGTGTGGGACCAGACGCCGGTCCCACACGAGACCGCCGCGCCCAGACCGTATCGTAACCCTCAAGTGCCATGTACATACTATCGTTATGTTCGTATCTGTTCTATGTGATAATGTAATAAATGTATAAAAAAGTGCGCTGCTTATCATATACCGATGACGATGCCGTTTTCTGGTGCCAAGCCAGCTAAAACCTCTTTGTCACACTACCCGACCAGGTTTTTGCTGCTGAGCTCTTTTCACGTCAAGCTAGGTCAAGGTCAATGATATGTGTTTGTATGTCTGTGTATGTCTGTGTGTATACTGATGTGTGCACCGATTGTTCATAAGCCCATATTACATGAAATCATGATCGGAGAAGCTTTTACCCAAAATGCAGTCAAAAAACTTCACGAAAAGTAAATTCAGCTTGCCTAGCACGCAACTAGTTTAGATGACCTAGGTTGACCTTCACCCTGACCGTGACATCTGTACATCGTCGAACAACATGTTCCATGATAGGTGAGAGGTAAGACTGGCAAAAAAGGCCGAAATCAAGGTGTCAAAAGCTCACAAGGCCCATAGCCAACGCAAGATGCTGAGAATTGGTCATTTGGGTCATGACATGACCTGAAAAACAAGGTCATATCTACGAAACCAAAAACCACAGAAACTTGAAATTTTCAGTAGACATCAAGAAAGGATAGAGGAGCAGCTATGCAAAAAATCAGGCTTCTAGCTCTAAAAATATAGAGTGCAGAGCAGAAAGACAACCTGGGGGGGTTGCTCGCCCCATGTGCGGGCGAGGGTTAACCCGCGCCCCGCTGCACTGGGCTATTCAGCCACACGCGCCCTGCTGGGGGGCAGATTCTGCCCCCCCTGTCTAACTTCCGAACCGATGGTCGTAGAAAGAAGGGGGAAAACGGCAATCGAAAGCTCTCAACAAGGCGGACCTTAAGAGCCCATTTTTTTGCCTAAGTAGGTCAGAGGTCAGGTCAAAGTCAGGTCAAGGGTACTGAATGCAAGCTTCTACAGTATCGGCCTTGCACCGTAGTTGCCGAAGAATGGACTGAGACTGATTGCCCAAAACGTGTTCTTAGGCTACCAAGACAATATTCGTTGCATACAATATCATTCAAAGGCCAAGGCAAAGGTCAGGTCAGGTCAGGTCAGGTCACCAAAAACAAAATATAGAAAGGGCATGTGCGACACATGTTTTTTTTTTGGGTCATTTTATTCATAGAATTCAATAGGGCACACTCAATAAGTGATAAGGACCACCTCTGGATGAATATCAGGTCGAGGTCAGGTCAAGGTCAGGTCAAGTGAGGTCAGATTTTTAAGTTGGTTGTTAACGCCTAAAAAGGTGTCTATCTGATGCAGTTTTTTCACGGCAAATCGAATAGTGCTACTTTTGTTTCCGTACGAGGTCTAGAAATTCCAAAAAATCATTTTTCGAAAAAAAGTCTCGTGACGTCATAAAATTTTGAATAACTCACATTTTTGAACCGATTCTTCTAAAAATTGGTATGTAGGTGCACATAGACCACTTCTCTGCCATGTATTACGTTTTTTATATACTCAAAATTTTGGATTTTATAATTATTTTCCCAAAAGTCAGTTTTTTTAAAAGAAAAAATCGGGCCAAAATCCAAAATTTTCGAAAACCGAGAGAGCCATTTGATAGACAAGGTAGAATCTCGTATAATTATTTTGTTACGTCTTGATTCCTTTAAAAATTAAGATGTTAGCGGCGCTTGAAATTTTGCCGTTTTTGAGGCGAAAATGGCGAATATGACGTCACTAAAACGTCATTTTCTCAAACTTTTCCGATGGATTTCGCTCAAATTTTCAGGAAACGTCTTCAATTGATGTATGATAAGGTATTGAAAGTTTGACGTTGCTGGCGTAACGCGTTTAGAAGTTATTGACGAAAAACGGGAGGGGAGGGGGGCAAATTCTGCCCCCCCCCCCCAGCGGGGTGCGGGTTACATCTCGGCGGGCGGGGGATGTTTGAACACCCCCCGTGTCAGAACATCCCCCGCTTAACTCGGCTCCTGGGCCACCTAGGGAATCGCGGAAAGCGGCATTTGAAGAAATGTCAAAAATTATGAAGAAAACATTCCGGTCATTTTTAGGTCAGGTCAAAGGTCAGGTCACCAGAGGTCATCAAAGGAGAAAGGTTGCTTATTAACCCTCGCCAGGCGAGGGCCTTTTCCATAACACGGACGGCGTTGGTACGACCCCCCTCCCTCGCGATTGGCTCCTATGGCACTAAGAAACGCCAAATTTACAGGGTAGGTGGGTCCACAGGAGATCTCGCCCTGTGAAAGTATGGTGACTCGAAGTCAATATTTAGGGGGGCTTTGGGGTATGAGTGCAAAAATTTCGCTAAAACATGTTAAAAGTTTTTTCGTTTATAACTTTTTACCTAGAAAAGATAGAGCAAAAATAAAAGCACCAGTGAACTCAGGACGTCCGTGCGCATCGGATGATATACTTTGTTACCAATTTTAGTGAGCTCTGGAATTCAGTTGCCGCTAAGCTAGTCCAATTTTCCCCTGACCTTGTACCTGTTTTTGTGACCTGGTGACCTGACCTGAAAAGACTGGGACTTCAAATTTTCAGGACATGTACGAAAATGTTGCCCCAGAGGGTATGCCAAATGCATATTTACGTCTGGACAACGAGTTGCGTTGGAGAGGCCGGAAATAGTGGCGATTTCAGGACCGCAAGAATAGACCGTCATTGGAATGATTCTTTTTTAAACCGTGCACTGTTTTCGGCCGGAATTTAATAGTTACTACAAAATATTTTGTAATTACGTTTCCACCAAGAATGAATGCCATCAGGGCTAAATTTTTAACCCGCGCCCGGCTGGGGGTCCTGGATTTCCACGCCCTGCTGGGGGGGGGGGGGTGTTTGAACACCCCCCCTTGTAACTTGGCTCCTGGGCCACGTAGCGATACGCGGAAGGCGGCGTTCGAAAGAGCGTCAAAAATAATGACGAAATCACTTCGGTCAATTTTTTGGTCAGGTCAAAGGTCAGGTCACCAGAGGTCATTGAAGGCAAAATTTCGCCGATTTCCAGGTCGAATGTCGAAAATTTCCAAGAAGCCAACGCATAACTCGGGAACCAATAGAGCTACAGCGCCGCGGAAAAGCGCATTCGATAGCCCTATTAACGCCCTTTCTGGATAATTCTCTCAGATTTGACCTAACGTCAACGGTTTTGCCTACAGGGGGCAAAAACTGCAAAAATAGCCGATTTTTTCGGAAACAGTTTTTCTGCAATAACTTTTGACCCAAGCCTTGTACGAGCTTACTTTTACCGGCATCGTGTTCCTCTCGTCAAGACGCATCGAATGAACTATAACTTGACCTTGAAAGGTCAACTTGAAAATTTGACCTCAGGTCAAGGTCATGACCTGACCGGAAAGGGTCATGTTGCATATCAGTCGATCCGTATCGTCGAGCTGAACACATCTAAGGCGTTTTCATCGCTCTAGCACGCCTCTATCAAAAGTTATTCGCGAAAAACTGTTAGATATCATTCGTGACCTAAGATGACCTCAGGGCATAAGCAAGGGTCACGGACACCATTTTCATGTTCAGTGTGTCTAAACCACTTGTAATTCGGTGTTTGGGAGTGTTTATAATGTCTTTCGTCCAAAAGAGACGCATTTCAATTTTCTCCCATTGACTTATAATGGGGAGGTCGCAAAATTGACCTGACCTTAGGTCATCGATATCAAAATTCTGAGATATACATTTTGTACATACTATTGCTCTTAGCAATCGCTGAAAGTTTCAAAGCGATCGGTCACTCGGTGTAGCTATGACAGACATTGAAACTTTTTATGAGGTGAGGTCACTTCAAGTGACCTGGTGACCTGACCTTGAATGACCTTGGTCTGAAATTTTCACAACATGTGTAGAACTGATGTATGATAAGGTGTACCAAAAACGGCGGCGCTCCGCGCCGCCGTTTTTGAGATATTCGCGAAAAACCACAAGGGGGGGGTGTTCAAACACCCCCCCCCCAGCAGGGCGCGGGTTAATACTATTGCATTTTGTCAAGAAGCATATAGTGCTGTTATATTGCAGTTTTAGCGCGTTTGTTACAAAATATGAAGCGAATAAGCGTCAGTGTAATTCATCAACAGTGCCAGAAGTTAACTTGAGGGAAAGCTATGCTAATTGCTCTTGTCCATCCACTAAAATTTATTAAATATTTTGCTTTGTGTATTCCAAAAGGAGAGGAAACTATTTCATTTGTGCCTTCATGTCAGAATTGAAGGTGGATCATTAAATTTTCAACGCAGTTTACAAACAAGCATTTGGTCTTTCTCGTTTATAAGCAGTGGCTAAGAAAAGGTTGATCAATCCTGAAGTTCAGTCATCGTACCTCAACTTGGCAGCAAGATCCCCCAAGGACAGAGGATATATTGTATACATGTCCTGTAAATCAAAACAAACAAGCATTTGGTCTTTCTCGTATATAAGCAGTGGCTAAGAAAAGGTTGATCAATCCTGAAGTTCAGTCATCATACCTCAACTTGG